GATGCAGAGAAATACCTGCAGCATGGTCTGCACGATTACTTCAGCTTTGAATTACGCATCAATGCCCAGTCATTTTTATTTAGTTTTTGTAAGAATAGAGTAAAGCACTCTGTTATGTTTACTTGACATTTTGCCATGTGAGATTTTTGCATTGAGCCTTTGACGTCACTTCCTCTGAGTCCTGCGATCAACTTCCAGAACATGATCAAATAATGGCAGACGTGAAATTGTGAATTTAACAGCCTTAAAAAGGATATTTCTGGTGCTCGGTCTAAACTGAAATTTGGCAGAGTAGGTGAAGGAGACACACTGAACACAAAAACGAAAAAAAATTATGTACGAAAACTTTGATCTCAAGGGCACTTTAAGTAATTAGGATTGTCTCATTTGTTTGATTGTTTCTCTGTCACAATCTTGGAGGCAAGGATATAGATGAGGTGTTTTTTTGTTTTGTTTTTAAGTTAAATGAACAGATATTAATTGCTTTCTTCTGGCAATACATATGGTAAATTGTATTTTTACATGTAAATGTGCAAACTTCATTGAGTGAGAATTACATTCTGGATGTTGCTGTTGTCTTCAGCAAACCCTAAATGTGAAAAGAGTGGTTGTGGAGAGTGGAAGGCCCCTCTTATAGATAATCCTGCATACAAAGGCAAATGGTCACCACCACTGGTTGATAATGCTGACTACAAAGTAAGTAATGCGTTGGTTGACTCTTAGGTTCTCATTATTGTATCAAAATGGATGGAGTAGATGGGTTGTGCAGGGATTTCATTCATTTCAGAAGTAGGCATATATTAGGACAAAAATAGGCAGAATACGGTTCAGGGGTAATCTAGGCAGATTTGTCAGCAGTCTTTCTCTTCTTTCCATTCAATATGGTGCAGAGTGAACCGGTTATGTTGTTGATTGAAATCCTAGAACCTGTTACAAAAATCACCCAACGACCAAAAAGGAGACAAAGTATCAACAAAAAACACCTTTATTGATGACTGCCCTAAGAATAATGTTGAATGTCTTTTAAAAAACATGCAAAAACCAGGAGGTGGAATGGCCATTGTAGCCAGGTCTGCTGTGGAGATTAGCCACCAGAATTTGCCAGTTGCCAGCTTCTAATGAAATCCCTGGTTGGCAGGATTCAGTAACTGATACCAATAATATGGTTGTGTTCAAGTAGATGTATAATTTTGTCTCTCAGTTATCATGGTTTTGACAATATCTTGTACATGTGAACATTTTGCAGGGTATTTGGAAGCCAAGAAAAATTGATAATCCTGATTACTTTGAAGATAAGGAACCTTTTAAGATGACTTCCATTGTAAGTGAAATCAACTGAATTTGTTTATTTGGAGATTAACGACTGACTTGAAATGGAAACTTCTTACTTTGTTGACAGAAGTCTTTTTAGATTCTGATGTCTTCTGTGGGATGATTAATTTAGGAAGATGATTGCAGAAACAATTTTATCAATTTTTAAAATCATTTGTTAAATGCACCACCACAATACAAATTATTAAATTTTAATCTGATTTTGTTTTTGGCTTTCCTTGGGGTGATCTTTCATTACATTTTCTTGCAATTTTGATGTATACAGCAGGCATGGTATGACAGCTTTATCCTAAATGTAAAATTCTCTTAAACAGTCAACAAAGAAATGAAAGAGAATTAGCTACCAGAACTTGGGAGTGTGAGGATTACCCTTTAAACCCTAATAGCAACTAGCATCTTATTTCTCCAAGCAATTATCAGGGCTCAACACTAATGGTAGCCAACTAGCCACAGATTTGTAGAAATTCCCTTTAAACTAGTGGTTTTTTATTTCCACTAGCCAGTTTGGCTAGTAAACAAACTGAAATTGTTGTAACATCTAAGTTGTCACTAGCCACTTGGCTAGTAAGTTGAAAAGTTGGTTGCAAGCCCTGAAGAATACTGCTGAATCGTTCATTAAAATCTTGAGAATAAAGGGAAAGATTGCCAACCTAAGAAGGTCTTGATTGTTAAACAAATTCTCTTTGTCATTGCCAAAGGGAATGTAATTTGGTAATATCAACAAAGTTGAAATTGTAAATTGGCCACCATAAAGAGTTAAAAAGCTGACATTTCGAGTGTTAGCCCTTGTCAGAGCAAAGGACGCTCTGACGAATGGCCAACGCTCAAAATGTCAGCTTTTTAACTCTTTGTGGTGGCCAATTTACGATTTCAACTTAGTTGATATTACCAAATTACCTTATTACCCCCACCGACACAGCACCACAGTTTCTTTTTAATTAGGAACTTACCCCCTTTATCCAAAGGGAATGTGTTGAGGAGTAGATGGAGAATTTGGATGTCGATGTTAGGATGCAAAGGATTATTACTACTTGTCAAACCAATCAGTAACTGATGGTTTTGTTTCCTCTACTTCAGGCAGCTGTTGGTTTGGAACTCTGGTCCATGACTCCAGATATACTTTTCGATAACTTCATTATCACCAATGACAAGTCTGTTGCCGATAAGTGGGCCTCTGACAGGTATGGTGAATCTTGAACTTGCTTAGCCCAGAGACTCCACCCCAGGAGAAAAAAAGGTTATAGTGTGAGGAACAGGAAGGGTAATCTATTTGTGTGTTTGTAGTAAAAAAAAAAAAAATTTATTCACAGATTTCTTTCTTTTGAAATGAAGAATTCATTTTCTGTTCTAGCTGGGTGAAGAAAAATGTTAAAGAAACATATGGAGGAGATGAAGAGGTAGATCCTGTGTTCCTTACTTTTTCATTTGATTGTGCAGCATTTGTTTTACAATTGGCTCTATTTTTTGCTCTATCTCATTTCACGAGTTACTGTACAAACTTACACCATCAGTTTTTCTCTTCCAGGAAACAATAGTCTTGCTGCATAAATTTGAAGGCTTTGTCATCTTGTTGTTCTTCAGGGTATTGGTGGTGAACAAATTTTGCTAAAGTGGTCCTTGTTATTAACTCTTTTGTTTGTGTCTTCTTCCAAGGGTGGAGTTGTGAGTAACTTACTGGAGGCAACTAATGAGCGGCCATGGCTTTGGGTGCTCTTTGTCATGGTTGTAATCTTGCCATTTGTGCTTATTGCAGCCTGCTGTTTCCCTGGAAGTAAGGTACAGTGTATATCTCGAGAGACTATTTGTTTCTGAAGGTACCAACTATTTCAGGGAAGAAAAAAAGTTTTTATTTTAAGAGTCAAAATAATCCTACACTTAGAATCCTTATCTCTAATAAGATTCTAGCCACATGAATTGTTTCAAATCCTCTTTTAAGCAGTCTATTCTTGGAAGTTTGTGTTTAAATTTAGCGGTAATTGACTGATGGTGGATTTCAGGGTGATGCTGCTGCTAAGAAGAAGAAGACGGATGAACCAACTGAAGATGTTCCAGCTGATGAAAACGAGGTGGTGTGTCAAGCAATTTTCTAGAGACAAACACTTCTCAGTCTGAACATTTTGATGTAATTTGAATTTGTAAATCACTAAGATGGTTCTCTATAACATTCTACATACACAGGCAGAGACGAAAGAAGAAGAAGAAGAAGAAGAGGAAACAGCAGCAGGTGATGAGGAGGTGAGGTTTAAAATTAATTTTGCCTTTTGTAAGTCACTGTTTCACTCTCTAGATCTAAACGTCAATTTTCAGCACTGAATGCCATACATTTTGCTTAAGGTCAGCTCCAAGAATTTGACATTTAATCAAACAGAGTCCACCAACTGATGTTTTCCCCTCTTCACCCATTCTCCTTGAAATTGTTTTAATACTGTAAGGTGAACTCCATTTTGTCTTCGCTTGGAGTTTGAGAGTTCTATGTAGAATTTCGTATGCTGGAACAATTAAAAGTCAAACAGAACATTGTATTTTAACCAGCTTTGTGTTTTCTTCTTTCAGGCTGAAGAGAAAAATGAAGAAGAAGAAAAGGTGTGTAAAACTGAACTGTCTCTCTCAATACTGTTTTCTTTTATTCCCTTAAAAAAAGAATTTAAAGTGAACCTCCTGCTGAATTTTAAGAGAACTAAATACACGCTATACTGTGTCTTGGAACATCTCCAACAGACTTTGGGGTGGAAAATGAATTAAATTGGCTTTTTGATCCTCTAGACGGCAGAGGGCAACGAGGAAGAAGAGACAGCTGGCAAGGATGAAGTTGATGAAGAGGAAACTGTAAGGTTAGAAATTGAGAACATGGTACTCTTGTCAATGGAAGCTTTCTTGGAAGGATGACTGTGTAGCTAGACCAACTTTAAACTGCTTTGAAAAATGCCTCAATTTTTTATAAACTCATGCAAGCTCTTCACGTCGTTGGACTAACACTCCCACAGCTAGGGAATTCCTCCATTTCAACCCTTAAGAGTGACTAACATCTGATTTCTCCTTACATTATCTCCCCAGAATCACACATTTAAGGCCAGTGACTAACATCTGATTTCTCCTTAAGTTATCTCCCCAGAATCACACATTTAAGGTCATGAGAATTTTAGAAAATGGTCACCAACTGAATTAAGCCCTCGATTGTTGAACAAATTCTCCTTCTCAGCACCTTAGGAAATGTATAGAGAACAGTATGGAGATTATGTATTCTGATGTTAGGGTGTAATGAGTTAAAGTGTATATCCATTAATTTTATTCTTGTTTAATTTGTGTCTTGTTTTGAATTTCAGGAGGACAAGACAAAGAACAAGGAAGGATAACTAGTATTTGTCACAGTTCCCCTCTGCTCTCTACAGGACTTCTGACATCTCCACTGACAATGCTACAAGGATTATTGTTTGACAAGACTGTATTTGATTGCCTTCTTTCTTTTTAGTGTGAAGGGCTTGTCTTACTGCGTGGACCAAAAGGAGCATGACACCTTTGGGAGCCAATCATTTTGGAATTTTGAAAGGCTGTGCAGAACAAATGCCAGTCTTTCATATGGCAGCTACTGCAGCTAAAAATTTTGTTGAGACTGCTAGGATCGTCAAAAAGCTATGCAATTGAGTCAGATGTGTTTAACATGGAAGTACTAGGTGTATCATGTTTATGTCACCTGCACTGGAGAAAATGTTCCCTTGTATTTGGTGTTGTTTAAAGTGATCTCAGATCATCACCAGATGTGATTGTAGAGTAGTCAAAAGGGTCTCTTCTAGTTGTAGGTTGAAGATGCGTAAACTATGTGTGATTTTGCCATTTTTTTTTTTTTGCTGCCATTTTGTTTGTTTGTTTGTAACATTATCCTTTGTTGTGGTTAAGACTGTTCGGTTGGCTCATAAGCTAGCTCCCCTGCCTCCATTCAGCAAGAGAGTTAGTTTACAGACTGATGTTTTGAATCTATTAGTAAAGAAATAGAAGTTATAAGTAAAAACCAGTCTTCCTAGACTTAAAAGGGCTAATAAGCATTAAAACAAACACAAGGGTCCAAGAGTAGTTTTTGTATCCAAGCTGGTGGCTTAACCTTCAAACTTGATTCTGTTAACTAATTTACAGACGGACAGTTTTATTTAATGTAATTGATAGAACTGTTTGGAAAATGCAGAAGAGTGTTCTTCACATTATTTTTTTTCTATATATATTTATGGGATGAATCATTGTAGCATATTCCCTATAATGCAGGGTTAGACAAGCTCACAAGCTTTGGGCTACTTTGGTTAACTAACCACAGTTTAGCGTAAAATACAATTGATGTGACATGTTTAATTTATGGCATTTTTCATACACTAGGTATGTTTTTATTTTTTGTTTGTTTTTCAGTTAGACCATCCACATTTTTAGTCATCTTTTACATTTAATCTATTTGTGTTAACTCTTTAAGAATTTGCTGCAACAGAATGTTGTCATTTTAATCAAAACTTTTTGATTGTCTCAGTCTGCTTGGTAAGATGTCAGATGATTAGTAGATGTCACATGATAGCCTGCTCTCAGGCGTAATTCGAGCGAGCAAGTGCTCATTATTTTCTTAGCAAAAAACACGGCCACTATCTTTGATTTTGATGGCAGCAGAAGGCAGGGTAGAGAAAGAAATTTGTACTAAGGGGGTGAGTGACAGACAAAAGTGAGGAGAGGGGCTGGGATTGGGGAGTAAATATTTGGACGTCTTCTTGTCCCTTCCTGCCCCCCTCCCCCTACAGTTGACTCTGACACCAAATTAAACATGGCT